GAAATCAAGTTAAAGTATAATGTTCTCATTCATTCTGCTGTGAAATTAAGTATAACGCACTGTAAACCAGTCTTGTCCATGCATTTCTCAGGAGGGGTTCAATAAGCACCCAGTTTAGGATTTTCAATATATTGAGAGACAAAGTGGTTATCAAATCAGTGTGCTAAAGATCTGTGGTAAAATACTATGATTGTGGTTGGAAACTAAATCAAGCCATAACTGATAATCATAGAAGTAGAGCCTTTAATTCTGGGAATGACTCAGAGCCCTGTTGTCTGATGTGTCTGTGTGAGGGTCTCTAAAGAAAGCACTGAATGCTAGAGGTACACACAAATCTGTTGTTTACCTTAAAAGGCCTCTGCTGTCAGTTTAATATCAAGACAAACAAGAGCAGGTGAGGTATAAGCCTCATTAATGCAACAACGCAGTCAGTTCGCTGGCAGCATGTTCCATAAATGGCTGAGCACTCCGCTGACAAAAGGCTTAAGCACCTCACTCATTTAGACACTAATGAATTGACCTGTCTCACCTGTCCCCACAAAAGACTATAACCGAAGGCAAAGTAAATAAATAGGGTATAAGAGGCAGTGGCAACTCTACAGCTTTGAGGAAGCAAAGGGAGAAACCAAAGGATTACAGAACCACCAGGAGTTTTGTCGAAAAACAGAAAGAGAATGAGATGAAGGGGAGGGGAGGCAGCATGAAAAAGGAAATAAAACAAACAGGAGAAAAAACAGCTAAAACAGCTAAAAAGCAAAAAGCAAAAGACAGCTACTCACAAGAAGAAAGGGTAAGAACTAATAAAATGATAAGTGACCAAAGATAAACATTCAGGCATTTTGCATTAAAGGTTTCATACTGTGTGGAAGGACTGTGGGCTGTAATTTCAAGAGAAACATATTTCTTCTAATATGCAAGACTCCATGACACATGGTTAATGAAATAATCACAAATGCAGTTCTTGCAGAAACAGCTCCAACCCAAAACCCACTACAGCATAAAATTAGCTTGGCTAAACTAAATGACTCAAAATGATTTTTTTTTTTAAATGTGTTTGATAAGAACCTGGTAGAAATCTGTTGATTGTAATCCGTGGTAATTTACAGTATAAAGTTATAGTTTGACACGTTGGAGTCCATTTTATTATATTTAAAGTGTACCTGATATTTGGTAGCTGTTTGTATAGAGGCAAATTAAGAGGAGTGACAGAACATTAGCTATAATTAACAACATAGTGTAATCCAATAGCACAGCAACACTATGAATTTCATCCTTCACAGTTTCAACAATACCAGTACAAGTAAGGTTAAATGTAGTCAGTGGTACTATATAGCAGAATTCCTACTATTTCAGCTTCAGCTCTTGCCCTTAAACTATGCATTTATGGCAAAATAAAATAGGTAATCTCAAATACTCCAAAATACTAAAACCGTTTAAACAAAAATTGTGCTCAGGTCCACTGATGCTGTTACATTGCATGGTAAATAGTGCTGAGGCTGGGGAAACATTAACAGTCCTGGAGAAGCGGCTCATTTCACAATGCCAATTTAGTAAAGCTGGTACTATACTGAGTTGCATGGTGCATCATGGGAATGTTATTATGAGCTCAGGTAGCCCACTCCTTGATTTTGCACAGACGCATATAAATGCAGATAGAGCCATATATAGCCCCCAAAATACTGGCACACACAAACCAGGAGTGCTAGCAAGCGCACATGCATTATGTTGCTTGAAGGATGCACAGTGCCACCAAGTGGACTGAGCATGCTACTGCACTGTGGAAGTTGTCTCCCCCCTTTCTGTTTAGAGTTATGACTGAATGCCTTGCCTTTTCATATGTGATTAATATTGACAGTTACACTGCTTTTCAATTTCTCTATCTTATAATTCAGAGCAGAGGCCTTTCTACAATATTTACTCTATGAGACAAGACAAAGAAAGAAGCTTAATGCCCCTCCATCTCTTACACAAATTGAGATACACATAGTTTGATGCCTTGACTTTGGCATTACAAACCACAAGAAAATCCCCAAGAATTACTAATCATTTTGGACACAGACACTGTGACAGGATTTTATTCAAGGCTTTCTTCTCCTCATTACAAGGTACTATTCACTCCACTAACAAAGGAAATAGGACTAAGGGAGAGCCATAAACAGATGAAAAGGAAATAGTAGAAATATGGGTGGGACAGAAAGAGCTTGGTGCATCCAATTACAGTAAGTGGGCTCATTTCCTCTAATCAAATAGCTCAGTTAAATATCCCAAAGGCAGATTCCCCAAAGAGAAGTGAGTGACTGAGTCTCTCTCACTTTCTCTATGTGGTTCAACCCTTTCTCTCTTTCCCCCTCTAGCTCTCATTCACTGTATGTGTATCTCACCAAGAGATGCCATTCCCCATACTGCACATGTTCAGAAGGAGTAGAGCTGAACATACTGAGAAGAGTGACATGATACTCAAACAGCCATTTAAAATAATGGGAAGATTTTCTTTCTGTTTCACAGAAAGCTGGAACAGAACCTGCAACATGTATTCAGTAACTGCTCCAGTTTTCTGGTGGCGTTGGGTTTCGTTGCATTGCTGATTCTGATTCTGGCCAATAATAGGGCTGATGTCTGTCTCTGATGCAACAGTGCAACACAAAGTAGTAGCCCTGCAGCTGTTTAATTTGGCTTTACATTTCTACAGTTCCTGTTCTATAGACCTACCCGTTTTTGCACCGTTCTTTCAATTACAAAATTATCATGTACAACAATCTCAGGCAAATCGACAGAAATGCAGGCAATTCATGTGAAGGGTGCCTTGTACTGCTGATCTCTTTGTGAGAGAACACGCTTCTGATGATTACAAATCTCTGATCAGTATCTGATTGTTCTCCAACGACAGAATTCTATAGACATTTACGCAGCATCACTAAGCAGAATCTTGTACACTACAATGCAGTAGAGTAACAAGCTTAGAGCCCAAGATACACAAGCCATGACCTAAGCCACTGTCTCCAGACTGCTATTATGGAATGTCATTAACACTTTGCTTTGTCAAAACATCTCCCACATGAGGGCAGTTCAACTAATCTACTGCACAGACATGAGCACACATATACACACACAGACAGCAGTGATGAACACAAACACACACAGCGTGCACACAGGACACATACTGTAAGGCTCTTTCCTGCTTTCTTATTGTATTGGTAGCTGCTACAGATCCATTACTGTAAAATAAACACGCTTTCAGTGACTTGACGCCTGTGTAAACATCATGTTAAATGTAGTAAAAACACAAAAATTACCATATTGTATAATTTGTAATCCAGGTCATTGTAAGATTTTTATGGATTCCTGAGCTCAGGTGTCCTGGCACAATAATACAGAGGAACTGAAGCAAGGCCAGAAAAGCTATTAACAAACAGCTGGTGTCTATAGGTGAGCATTGCCCTCAGGCAGAGCAAAGCCTTGGCATGAAACTGGCTGTGAGCCTTGGCAGAAAACTAAACAGTTTTGCTTTCCTTATCTGCCTTTGTTCTGCTCATTTAGTCCCTAATTATAAAAGAAAGGATGAATTATTTAAAAAAGTGGAAGTGATTAATGGACTAAAGCAGTATATTGCGGGACTAGCCTGAAGCCCACAGTTAGTGCATACTGTACAGTATGTCCATGGTAATGGCCTTAGATGAGTAAGGTCATCCTCCTATTAATGGAAATTCAACTCCAACAACCTGTGCTATCTAATGTTTGATTATCGAGTCATCCTCTTTCCTAAATCCATTACAATGCATTTATACTTACTTTCCACACAAACCATTTCTTTTGATTACTAGCTACTTACTGACATTGTTACTGTACAAAGCGTATCAAACTTGGCTGCATCAATTCTAAAAAGGTTTGGATATCTTTACCAGCTAATTATAGATCAATGACAAGGATGCTAAAATCACATAACACTGTATGTTTTTCTTTTTTACTGATAAAAATACCATAAATTCACAATGTAGTAACACTTATATTAAAGGTGCATACAAACGACAGGTTTGAAATTATTGAGGAGATCTATAGATGGTAAACACACTATATGCCTACCTTATAGCAATTTTCTGTTTGAGCAAATACATGCAGTGTGGTTGAGGATTAACTATATTTAACATTGTATACTGTATGACAAGAGGTGTGGTAGTGAAAGTCTTTTGCGCTGAGTGTTTAATGCCTGAACCCTTTTATCTGTGGTACCCATGGAGATGTTAGAGGAAGTCAGTTTGAATAAGATGCATCACATGACTCTAAAAGTCTTACAACCTTTACATTTCTTCCAAACCTCTCTTTCTTAAAAAAAGACACTGTACTTGGAAATGGCACAAGCATTTTCTTGCCAAACTTTCGATCAGTTAAAGCTGCAATAGATTTAAGTGATCACCAAAGTTTTTTGCCTTAGAAAGTGTATAAATGCTAATGGGCTTTGCCTGTTCTCCATTCATTTTGCTTCCTGATATGCAGAAATCTTGAAGTTGACATAAAACAAGGAGTAGAGAATGGGAGGCCTCATTGGCAGAGGATACAACAAGAGCATTTACTTCTTTATAATATAAACAACTGAGAGGTTCTACTTCAAAACATACTTGAGCTAAAACTATAAAGTGATGTACTATCAATTAGTAAATCAACAGAAATTATATTCCTTTTAACTATGACAAACTATATGAATTGCCTGCAATTCTATTGATGAGGCTATAATTCTATACATGATAATGTAGTATCTCATGTTTAGTTCATATCAGTTTGGCTGAGGAATTTTCTTGAACAAAGTAGATTTGAGATGGTTCCCCATCTTGATCCAGTTTTACCTGTCCCAAAACCCCCAAAACAGCTGTGTGAAGAAGTGGAACCAGTGGCAAAATAGTTGTACTAAAGACCAGATTTTAAGACTGACAAATTAACAACGATTTTAGTTTTTTCTTTTCTATTGTACACATCAATTTATGGAGAAGCTGGAAACTGGGACTCACCATGCTGTAGAGCTCTGGGTCATCATAGTTGTCTAATGGATGAGGTCCAGCCCCCTCGAGGGACTCGAAACCCTCTTCATCCCACATGTATGTTCCACCAGAGCTGTTGGAAGGTGACAGCTCCACAGATGAAGCCTGGGGGACATCACTATGCTCGGAAGACAAAACCAGTGGGCCCTGGGAGTCCTGCACAGAGCTTTCTTCTTTATGTTCTGTTTTACATCCTACAAGAGATACAGTATATGAATGCAGGCCTGAACAACATACAAAATGTGACATAACAATTTAATTTTTAATTTTCAGTTCAGATGACTTACCTGTCAGATCTGTGCTGTCCCAGTCAGTGGTCTCACTGAGACAGCTGTGTAGCTGAGTTTGAGGAGTGCTGCCAACTTTCCTGTTGTCAGGCATGTCACCCTCACTATGCACGTCTCCCACACTGTCAAAGTCATCTAGAAACTCTTCACTGGTGTCACCTTTGTCTAGTGATGAGGCAGAAGATAAGGACATGTCCTCCTGAATCTCTCCTGCTGCCTGGCTGAGGCTCTGCCTATGCACACCTCTTCCCCCTCCATCTCCAGGGCTTCCATCTCCATCGCTGTGAGCGTCACCAGTCAGCTCAATGTCTCTTGCTATTCCTAATAACCCTCCACACTCAGTGGCAGCTGAATGTCTGATATCACCCTTGACTTTACCTGGAAAAAGAGTCTTCTGCTGTTTGGCTCGCTCGGATTGAGCCAGCCTGCATCCCAGTGACACCCCATTGCTGCTCACCGACTTTGTCAGCACACACCTGGAGAGCAGAGGCTTCTTCAGAGCACTGGGAGTAGTGGGTGTGGGAGTGGTCGAGGGGATTGGCAGAGAGCAGGTAGGAGTTCTGCTGCATTGAACTCCTCCAAGTCCTCCACCTTGTCCTCCTGAATCTCCAAGGCTGCCATTCAGGCCTCCAAGTCCTAAACTCAATCTTCCATTGCTCAGCTGAGGGAGGTTGAGGAAACTACTCCGAGGAGGCCGAAGCTCAGTGCTGACCAGAGGCTTGGCTAGCTCCACTGCCCGGTTAAAGGAGAATGACCGTTTCATAGGCTGGCTCGTAGGTGAGGGAATCTGCTTGAAGTGAGTGAAGCTGTTCGAATGTATCATATTCTCAAGTGCCAAGGCTTTCAGGCTGCCACTGGGCTGGTGCAGGCTGTCTTGAGAACTACTTATGGGAGAGCTGCAGCCTAACTTTGGTCGCACAAGGCGGGACTCGGACACAGTTCGAGCAGGAAGGCTGGAGCCATTATGGGCCATTTTAGGACCGCCGTTCAGTAGCTTGGTCCCTACTTTGGGACTGACCTTGGAGGATTGCCTGGGCATGGCCTTAGAGCCCAAGACAGGAACCGTCAAAGTACCTGACCGCTGTATCTTGGGTGTCCCTGGAGAACCATTCTTTACCTCCTTGGGCAATGATGGAAGCTGTGTCTGAGCCTTGTCTTCACCCCCATCCCCAGGACTGCTGGGAGTCGTTGGGCTGGAGGGGGGCTTCTCCTCATCTCTCTTCAATTTCAAGGTAAAAGGAGGGGCACGGATCACACCATTTGGATGTGGTACTGGATGAGCAGTCTTGCCATCCTGGGTGGGGGTGGTTGGCTGTGCAGAACCATTGGACAAGGGGCTAGCGCCACAATTTGAGGACCGTCCACCAAACTTAGGCAGTCTGGATACCATGACAGACTTAATGGGTGCTTTTTCTTCCATTAGATGCCAACAAAGGCATGGAGGAGCATGGGATCACACACAGCTGCTGCAAGGAATAAACAGAAAGACAGAGTAAGATGATTAAATATAAGTGTACATGATTTCACTTGGGACAGTGTCAAGCAGCTTTATAGGCTGATTCAGTATTTAAAAACCCTTCATTAATACCAGCTTTCAGACTGGGAAGCTTTTCTAACACTACTTAACTTGTAGACATCAGATAAAACAAATCAAACCAATATTGTCTTACAGTGATTCAGCCTTCACTTTGTTTCAATACAGAGTAATATACTGTACAATAAAACCTCTGAATGCATTCATATGCAATATCCATCTTATATTATATGCATCTTCTTGTGTCTGACTAAACATTTGGTTCAAATTGTGCTATGATGTTCTACTATGCTGTACATTGCCTATTTCTAATCCTTTATTTAACTGTTAAGACTGTTATCCTACTTTTAATGGCTAACATTGTAATGTCTTACTCTGGCAGGCTTACGGGGTGATTTGAGACTTTGTCCCAGCAAGTCTGTCTTTTTGTTGTCACGTGGTCACAAGAGAGAAATAAAGGCTCTAATGTCTCTTCACTAAAACTATTAAAAGCGAACAAAACAAAAAGAACTGTGAGCTTGTTATGACCTGACCTTTTAAATCTCACACACAATCCCCCAAAATTAAAAAGTAAATCAAAGACACAGACAGGACATTCTTAATGAGAAGCTAATGGAATAATGAGCTTTAATGTTTTCAGAGTTTCACATGACATGACCTGTAGCTGGCACCGGTTTTGACAGATGAGGTGCCAACATGCCTGGCCAACAAAAGAATGGGCAAACGGACAAACGACACCTGGGGGACAAGGAGAAAGCAATGCTGGGAAGGTGGCCAGCATACAGTGAATAGTGAATGAAAGAAGTAGAGCACATACAGAGACAGTGGAGGGAGAGCATAGCGCTGCTTCCATTGTTAGATTCATTCAATTCAATATGAATGAAAATGCACCTGTGTTGCATCCATCTGCAGGCTAGTGCTAGAAGCTTGAATTGAAACATTGCTGAAATCCAGAAGGTTGGTGCAGAAAAAAATCATCATGAAAAACCACAGCATGTACTAAAAACTAACTTGTTGTTGCATCAAATAATATTGTCATTCACAATTACTTATTCACTTTTAAGAAATGCCTGTCGCTCTACAATAGCTCAAAGCAGCCACACTCCTGAGTAGACCCCTCAATAAACTGGCACAAAGATACAAAGGCAAATACTGAAGCAATAATCCACTCAACATTTGAAGAGTTGGGGGAAGGGCTTTCTGGGACAATGTGTGCCTCCTGTTTAAGAAAAAGACTGCACCACACTGGCCCACATTCCCATACACAGACACACATTTCAGCAGTCAAAAAGACAGACTGGTCAGAGAAGTGCCTGGCTATTCCACCATCCTAATCTGCTTCATAAACACACATGGGTTCAAACACGAAAACACAGATACACACACAAAATCAGGTCAGAATGTGCAGGCAGGACAACCAAAGCCTCTTTGCCCCAGGGAGGGGGTGGTAACTGTGTGTATTTATGTGTTCAGTGGGTAGCAGTTAGGTTAGGGGCCTTCGCTATTGTCAGTGGCCCCAGAGCCTCTCAAGTTTTAATCATACCCAGAGTGACACACTGTTAGCAGCAAATCCTCACACTGCTGGGGCAAATGTTTATTCATCTGGGTCACCGTACTCCTCACTCACCCACTGGAAGATACAGTATCTGTCCTCACTTACTATTTAATTTAGTTTATATTCTACTTAAGTCATCTTTAAGAAATCCCACATCGACAACTTCTATTCTTGTCATGCTATAGTTTTTGTTCTAGTTATTGGACTGCTGCATATAAACAGTATGGAGAGGTCCAGCTTATGAAAGAATAACAGTCTAATCATAAGGTCTCAACCTCGAACTGCAAGAGCAAATAATATGCAAGGCCCACAAATTTAACAGGTGCTCTAAAATAATACGACCAGCACGGTCATAAAAAAGAAGTTTAAAGATCCAAACAACTAAAATGTCAGTTCTCTAAATATTCAATTCAGATTTATATTTAATGATGGATTTCTTAACATTTAAGCAAAATTTAAACATACACCTCAGTGAAAAACAAAACATGGTGCCTTGGCAAACTTTTTTGTAATCAACTCTTCCACCGAAAATCGACAAATGAGTAGACTACTAATGCTACGTCATCACAGCCCAGGTCTGAACTTTGGTCTTGCTTCTATATATTTTTCATTACTGGTGTCCATACAATACCTGAGTTTTGTTTAAATTACCTTACATTGCTGAGTACAAATTTGCCTATGAATGAATTTTATATAGAAGAATACAAGCAAGCACTCTGCAAAATTTCGGGCAATGAGCCGTTCTGTTACTCAGTGCTATGAACACAGTTTGGCTGGTACCCAGTCCTCTCCCTGATATGAGTACAAAGACAGGTCAGCTGAAGAGGGCTACAAATAAACAACATGATCCTAATTGACTGACACACATTCAGAGGTTGGGCAGTAAACCATGCAGGCCATCTGTCAAATGCTCAAATGAGGGCCTGCCCCTCCCCCCCAGAGAGCAGTACTGTAAATAAATATCCCAGAGCTTGAATAACATCCAGTACAAGGACAGCACTAACCTCCACATTAACCAGTACCAACAATGTGCCTTCTTTGGTTTTGCACTGAAGAAAAAACAAGACATGAAACCTTGACATTGCAAAGGGATTAAAACACAGTGTGTATCCAATATGAATAACAGCAGGGAGAGGGAGTTTAAAGGACACAAAGGGAAATGGAAAAAGAGACAGGGACATATTGTTAAATAGATTTTAAAAAGAAAAAAGAGTGGCACAAGACTCCAGTGGACTGTTCCCACCTCTGCTGGACCTGCAACTAAGCATCTCTGCAATGAGCCTTGAGCATGAAATGAACAGGGATGAGAAAAGATATTCCTTTCTCTGTCATACAGGGAGTGGGAGCTTTCTGTTTGTCTGTCTTCCAGTGAAGCCTTTTGGCCTTATTCAGCCAGAGAGCTCCTGACAGAGTTGCGGGAAGGCTGAACAATCAGATCTGCAAGAGTAAAGTCATTCATTACTCTTCTGGCAGAGCTTTCAATTTTGAACTGCACATGCACACACACACTACAGAGATGCATTCTTCAGGAGTAACAGGACAGATGCAGATGGGCTACGACAGCCTGAGGGCTGTGATCTATTGGGTCATTGGGGCTACGCATGAATGGAGGTGCTCAACTATACACAATAAATCCCCTATACTGCTGTTTATCCCCACAGCCAGTGTGTCCCCATCTCCCAGTGCTCATAGCTCCTTATCATTACGCAGCTGCAGCACCATCTCTCAACACAGCAACATGTCAAACAGCATCCATCTTTCCTCTCTCACCGTTCCTTCAGCGTTGAAAGATTTAGCACAGGAGGATTTTACTTATCTTTATTCACACAGATAACACCCAGAAAAGGATAAAGCATGAGGAAAGCCGGGGAGGATGTGAATTTCCTGGTGGGATTCTGGTACTTTTCTGTATTTCATTACACCAAAGCCTTATATGAAAAAAGTCCATCTTTTTCTAGACTAAAGAAAACTGTATACAATGTCAACACAGAGTAAAAGAAGAAAACTTTATTTGTTCACACCATGAATCCATTAGTGGTACCATTTCATATCAGCTGCAGATGGTCTGTATATTGTGTATTACTGCAACAAACTAAGTAAAAAAGGAGGTGTAACTTTACACTGTAACTGCCAAATATTTAATTAGTGCAGTAACTGATCATAAGATTAGATGTATCAATATAGACGCTTTCCTTTGTACTAAACAAATGCAGTTTTACATTTGGTATACACACAAAAGACACCACAGTATAGTCACATTAAAAATCCATGCAAAGTGGCTTTAACTACTTTTCACAGTGGTAGATTTGCTGGGGCTTAAACATTTTCCTGTGCAGAGTAACTGGTACCTCTAAGCACAACAGCAATCATCATGTGTGTATGTAACTGCAGAGGGTAAAAATGCAAATGAACAGTAAAATGATGAACAAGCAAAACACATTTTTTAAATAAAAGTTTTGCAATTTCTTATGTCTGAGCAACCTGAGTGCACAAGGACTGTGGTTAAGTTACATAATGAAGAGAACTGAAGAAGGGATGATACAGTGGAGAAAAGATGGATGGAGAGAGCAGAAAGAGATGAGATCTCCCTTAAGGCACTTGTTCTTCATCATGGTGTAATGCAGCTTCAACTTACAACTCCTCTGTCTCTTCATCTTTCCTTTTTTCTTGATATATCTGTGTCTCTCATAGTGCTGAACCAGTCAAAATGGATCAAAAGTTACATAATCCCTGAGTGAAAAGTCTCATATACCATATGTTATCCAGCTCTTCTCTGAGATACCAAGACCTACTGCAGAGCAGTTTCACTCCTGTCTCAGCCAGTGAAGCCTCTAAACAACTTTGAGGTATTGTGTTAACCAAACAAAGTACAGTTCCATTTAAAAATATACCTGATCTATTAAATCAATTTATAAGGTTCACTAAACTAAAATGAATGCAGTTTAATACAACTGTCTTACATCCATTTATATACATATATTTTTTAGGCGGGTGTCATTTCATTTAGAAGATGTACAGTAGTTGTGGTACTAGACATCTCTATTATTTGGTCTATTTTGCCCATTTATATCAATGAGGCTAGGCTACATACAGGACTGTTGAAGTAGTTTAGGTCTAGCTATGTGTATCTAATAAACTACCAGCTGAGTGTATAACCTGACAATCAAATACAGCCTGTATTATCTAAACCAATGTGAAGCTACATTTATATAGATTATATTATCCATACTGTACAATAATGAGTCAAGTGGCTCAGTGGAGTAATAACTGGGCCAGCCATCTAGACAGGGCAGCAGTGGGCCATAGCACTCTCCCCTAAAGAGATTAACAGAGTGCCATTAGAGCAGGCTAATAGAATGAGACAGGGATGAAAGGAA